CCCCCGTACCCGATTCTACGTCTCCCCGAATCTCCCTCGCGGCGACGCGTGAGAGTAGCGTTTCGCCGGTGTGACCTCTGGTGTTCTACAGCCAAGACGGTGATAGAAGGACTGCTTTGAGCTCAGAAGGGGCTCGTTGTTCCTGAAGCTTTTCCATGGCTGTTCCTCCAGCCCTCCTCGTGCACCTAGGCGCTTTTGGGGCCAAAGAGGGACTGCGTTCCTTATTCGGCGTTTCTTCTGGTAGTACCTCGACTTTAGGCCTCCCAGATGGGGTCCGAGTAGATGGGGTCGGTAGATCGCGCCGCATCGCCGATGCTGCGGCCCGATGTGGAGCCTGATCTCCTACACGCGGAAGTCGCCGATGTATCGGCGATGTATCGTCGAGGCGGCGCGATCCTCCGACCTCATATACCCGGACCCAATTTGAGAGGCATCTAGGCGCGGGCTCACGTGTCGGTGGTTAAAAAAAGGGGGTTCTGAGGGACGGGGCCCTGAGGACAGGAAGGGCTCCGAGGGTTGATCTGCACGGCATGAGGTTTGAGGCACCTCGTCCTTCGGGCCCCGTCCCTCAGGACCCCATCTTTGAAGAACCGCCGACAAGAGCGGCGCGGCGAGCCGCGCCCGCAGCGCCGCCCGCCACTCGGCCGGGGCGCGGGCACGCCGGGGGAGCCCCCGGGCGCCGGCGTGCACGCGCGCGGAGGCCTCGGCCTCCCCCGGAGGCCCCCGAGCGTCGCGCACCCCAAAGGTTATTTTTGTTTTTGTTGGGGGGGGGGGCTACTCGTTTGGAATGACGTAGTGCAATCAGTCGTAATTCAAGCAGTGGCGAAGCGTCCCAGCTCGCCTATAGCCCTACCATAGAATGTTCTAAGAGCCTTTCGTGGTTCCCAAGAAATGTTCTAAGAGCCTTTTGTGTTCCCCCGAGGACCTCGAGCGTCGCGCACCCCAAAGGTTCTCTTGGCATCGCTCGGGCGTGTGCATTTTCTCTCGGCGAGAACCATCGAGGACCATCCTGGACCATCGAGCCAACAAAACACGCACGAAGCCGAAGAATACACTGGAAATGGACGTCCGAGCGACGGCAGGTTATGTTTTTTTTTTTGGGGGGGGGCATTCGTTTGGAATTACGTAGTGCAGTCAGCCATGATAGTAAGGATGGGCAATTTTCCCAGGGGTGCCCCTGCATCCTTGCCTCCTCGGTCCGTCCTTCGCCGCTCTCGCTTGCCGCGCCCCGCTCGGAAAGCTTCGAAATGAGCGTCCAAGGCCCTTGCATCCTTATCGCGCATCCTTGCTATGCTGGTTCACTGTACCCCGCAGAGGCGGACAAGAGTGAGGGGGCGGTGGGGACGTCGTTAGTTTGCGAGACTCTGGAGGAGCCCGCCGCAGGCGCCAAAGGGTCACAAAATATACATGCAACGAGCCCGCCGCAGGCGCCGATTTCTTTGTGAAACCAATGTGGGTAGGTCGCGGGTGGGACGCAGGTGGGTCGCGGGTGGGTCGCGGGTGGGTCGCTGGGTGGGTCGCTGGGTGGGTCGCGGGTGGGTCGCGGAGTGGGTCGCCGGGTGGGTCGCGGGGTGGGACGACGACAACAAACAAACAAACAAACAAACAAACAAACAAACAAACAAATACACAAACAAACAAGCAACAACAACAACGCAACAAGCACAATCTTCACCACGGATCCCCACTTCAGGCACGCACCCAGGGACAATGAATGGCCCTTCGGCCCCCTCACTCAGATTTATTGTGTTGCTTTTTATGTGTATGTTATTGTTATGTTGTTTTTTGTTGCCCCTCGCAGCGCCTCCTCCTCCTCCTCCTGCTTCTCCTGCTCCTCCTCCTCCTCCTCCTCCTCCGTATCCTTCTCCTGCTCCTCCTCCTCCTCCTCCTGCCCCCACGCCCCCCTCTCGAGGCATGAAGCGTGCATGCCTCTGCCCGCCCCCCCCTCGCCTGCCTCGGCGGGGGGACCCATCGGGCACGTCCTGAGCACAGCCCTCCCTCCCCCCCTCCCTCCCGAGATCATTGGATGCCAGATTCTTCGGTCGCGGTCGGTGCACGCCAGTCGTTGAGAGTAGCTGATTGTGGATCCCGAGATCCCGATCTTTTCCGAGCGCCTTCCTGCTTCAAGGGGCGGTCTGCTCTTGCCGTGTTGCGTGGTTCTCTGGGCGGGCCTGGACCCAATCTGCTTTACCCGCCTTCCTAGTTCGTGTTTTCACCTACTTCTTCCGACCGACGTGTAGCCCAAGTTTCAGTCGGGCGTGTCCATCTACAGGAGGAGCAGTCAAACGTAATCAAAACATAGTCTAGGGGACGATGTTTCTATAATGTTCCATTTGTCCTTAGCATTTGTTTGTCAATGATTCCTTTTTCCTGCAGAATGAGCCTGTAGGGGGACACGCCCGACCTAAGTGTAGCCTGAGTCGCCCTCAGTGGTGCGAAGACAACGGTGCTTCGCGCATTGCGGCTTTGATTAAAAAGGCGCCCTTCTCCAGAGCGACAGCGCGAGGGCGCGAAGATAACCGCGCATCGCGCGCGAAGTTGGGTCACCTAAGTAGCGACCGATCGACATTCCAAATCGGTCGTGAACGATTTGGGAGAAAATCGGTCGCGGCCGCGCAAAAACGATAGCGACCGATCTCGTCGGTCTCGACAGGAGAATTCCAGTATCCAGTGATCAGGGCCTGCCAGGTCAGCGACTCGCCGGCGGCAGCCCAGAGGCACCAGGCTCGGCGGGACAAAGATGGGGCACTGGGGGATGGAGCCCCCGCTGAGTCAGCAGGGGAGAAAACACACAGACACAATTCATCGTCGATCCCCAGGAAGAGATAGGAAAAAATTGGAAGTGGGGGGGAAGACGAAACTCCGGAAAAGATTGGAAAATATATGGGGAATCCTGGGATGTGTGTGTGTGTACTTCTCTGTGTGTCCCTGGGCCCCTTCAGCTCTGCTCGAGCCGCGCGACCTGGCCCGGTCTCGGGCCCCGGCGCCCTGCAGATCGACGGGGCTCGAAAGGAGTGGCGCAGAAAGATGTGGTCCGGGGCTCTCCATGTCTTTCACCACCCACCACCCCAACCCAGCCCACCCCAACCTTCCAAACCACCCCAAACCACCCTCCAAACCACCCCAACCCAGCCCACCCCAACCTTCCAAACCACCCCAAACCACCCTCCAAACCACCTCCACTTGCTCACCACCTTCCAAACCACCCCGACCCAACCCGAAGGCCTCAATTTGCCCTCCATTTCCAGCGGGGGGGGTGGTCCGGAAACATTGAGAAAACACATATGGAACCCGTCCCCCCCCCGACCCGAAATTCGGGTCTTCGGGTTGGGTTGGGGTGGTTTGGTAGGTAGTCAGCCTTCCGCGGCGTCGCGCATGGTCTGGCCGGGGCCCCGAGGGATGGGGTCAAGTTGGGCCTGTCCCTCTGCAGGAGGAATATTCAGAAGAGTCAAAAATAGTATGGGGGCTATTGTTTTACTATTTTTGTTCGCTGTCCCTCCAGGACTTCACCCCCGGCTCCTGTCTATGGCGTACCTTTTCCTGCGCAAGCTCTTCGGCACAGCCTGTTCTCCGCACCATCTGGCCGCCTGAGGCCCCGCCCGCCCGCGCCCTGTCTCCCCAATAAGTGCTTCGCGCGCCCCGCCTAGTTCTTAACCGGAAGAGGCCCGCTTTCGACCCGCCGACCAAAAAGTTTGACTATGTTTGACCCGTTGGTGGTATTTTCTGCATATTCTTTATATTTGTCGCCCAACATTCCCCTGCAGGGGGACACGCCCGACTTAAGGATGGGGCCCTCAGGATATCGGCGACCCCGGAGAAAAGGCGGAGACCAAACCGTGTGTGGTGAGCCAGTGGAGGTAGTCAGAGGTCGATCATCCAGGTCTCCTCGACGGGGTCGGAGCAGGTGTGGTCGGAGGATCGCGCCGCATCGCCGACGCTGCGGCCCGATGTGGAGCCCAATCTTCTACACGCGGAAGTCGCCGATGCATCGCCCACGTGGCCGATGCATCGACGATGCGGCGCCGACCCCATCTTGCCCAAATCCCTTATTCATCGACTCCCCCCCTAAAGGACTGGACCGCCATCCAAATGCGACCTAATATTCCGGACCCCCTCTTCGACAGGGCGCCTTGATGAACGGACCCCCTAGGGTCCAATCCAAACGAAACGCCCTGATAAACCGGACCCTTCCAGTTACAAAAGAGGCGCCTTACAAGACCGGACCTGGGGGATGATTAAGGCATTTGTCGGAGGTGGATAGACCTCCAACCATGACACGTCGATTAAGGAATTGGCCGCTTTCGGTTCGCGACAGGGCGTCGCGGCCGTTATTTTTGCGGGTCCAGGTCCGTCGGTTTCGGTCCCAGGCCGTTTTCACTAAGGGGAGATTTGCTGAAGGGAGGTTTGGCCACCGCCGAATTTTGAGCACTCGGGCACCATCGAGGCGGCCTCTGGAGCCCCCGCCCTGCCGAGGCGACTCGCATTGGCGCGGGGTGCCCTGCTTCTGTCCTCGGCAGGGCGTTGCAGCGGGCATTTTTGCGGGCTTGCGCCCGCAGGGTCTATGAATTCACAAACCAGTTGTGTGAATGCAGACGCCAGTTTTTGGGTTCAGAAGCAAGTTTTTAGAGCCGACCAGTTTTTGTCAGTCAAAAACTAGTTTTTTCGAGTTCGAAGGCCAGGTTTTCTTTGATGTAAAAAAGACCTGGGCCCGGTGACCCCAGTCTGAAGTCGGGCGCGTCCCTCGACAGGACGTTCGAAGGCCAGGGTTTTCTTAATGTCAAAAAAAAGACCTGGGCCGGGTGACCCCAGTCTGAAGCCGGGCGGGTCCCTCGACAGGATGAAGACTCCCACAGAGTCAGAACATAGTTTGGGGACGAATGTTCGATTATTTTTGTTTTTACTATTTCAGAGATTCTGCTTTGAGTATATACATGTTGTTTTCCGTCCAAAATCCGCCTGGAGGAGGACACGCCCGACCTGACCCCAGTCGCTTGCTCCTTCAAGGGTGTCTTGCAAAAGAGGGCTCTGTCCAACCCCGAGGGAGGGAGGGCAGGTTGAATTGGTGCTGTCCCCAGACCCCCCCGCGGCATGGCTACCCCACGACGTGGGCGCCCCCTCTCCCCAGGACGGGCTGGCCTGCCGTCCAGAGAGCAGTCTCTCGACGGCCCTGGGGCCCGGCGAGGGCCTCCCGAGGCTGCAGGTTCGGGGCTCGAGGGACGGGGGTCCCTGCAGACGGGGGCGCGCCAGAGCGCCGGAGTGTGCAGGATGCTGCAGGGCCAGGCCTGCACTGGCCCAGACCTGCGTGCGGGATCCTGCCGATCCTGCAGGCCTGCTTGCAGAACGGTGCAGGGCCCCCGGGGTCAGCGCACGCACCCGGGTCAGCGCATCCCCGGAAGCATTGAGGATAACCTCCTGCCGTGATCTTGCAGGATTGCGCAGGGCCCGACCGAGACCCGGGTCGGCATCTGGCCCGGGTCAGGGCATTCCCGAAACATGGAGGAGAGCATTTCCCGCCGCGATGATCTCACGACGCGAGCACGTGTCCGAGGATGTCGGGCCGAATCTGCGCTGCTGGAGGCACCTCGTCCCTGACCCCTCCCATATAGAGCTCAGAAGTAGCCCTCCAGACGCCCAGTCCTACCCTCAGGTCGGACACGTCCCTCAACACGAGGAATATTCAAAAATAGTCAAAAATAGTCTGGGGACGATTTTTTGATAATGTGTTCGTTCATCATGTTGGTGTATGTTTTGACAGTTTTTTATATTTCGTTTTAAATCCGCCTGTAGGGGGGCATGCCCGACCTAATCCTACACAGCCGTGGTAGAAGTTTCTTGAAAGTGCGATGGCGATATCTCCCATCCCGTTCAAGATTCCGAACAGAGGCGTCGTTCGGCGTGGTAGTTTCCGATCCAGCTGATGCTTATATTCTTGTTGCCCCAGAACCGGATCGGAAGCTACAGTCGGGGCCCTGAAGAAGGAGCCCTTCTCGTTGGGGAGGGGCTCCGCGTTCCTTAAGCGTGTCACAGCTTGCCTCGGGTTTTCCTTATGTTTTCGATGGGAAATCGAAGGTTAACTTGTTGAACAAAGGGGCCTCGTATTCTTGTTGCCCCAGAACCGGATCGGAAGCTACTCCGCGCCACACCCCAGAAAGTCTCGAGCAGGCTGCGCCCGCACGTGGAGTAGTTGGAGCAGTTGTCCTCCGAGCTACTCCGCCGTGCTGCACGATTGGCGAAAAAGATTGCAAGAAGCTTTCGTCGCGGTGATCTATCTCGACCGCTTCACACCTCGAGTGGGATTCGCATGCCGAGGTCCTGGTGCTATTCTCTAGCCGTTCAAAATCCGCGGCGAGCCCAGCGGGGACTGCGGAGGGGGCGGGCCTTCCCAGGAGGGGCTGCCGACAAGCCCCGCCGACTTCTGAGAAGGCCTGCCCCATCTCACTTCCGCTCCGGGCGCACCGCCGAGTAAGGTCAGGGAGGGTCCTGGGGGCCCCATGCAGTCGGGGCGCTGAAGAAGGAACCCTTGGCGTTGGGGAGGGGCTCCGTGTTCCTTAACTGTTTCGCAGTTTGCCTTGGGTGTTCCTTTTGGTTTTCTACGGGAAAGCGAAGCTTAACTTATGGAAGACAAGGGGCCTCGTTCCTTATGTAGGGTTCCTGAAGTCAGCGCCCCGACTCTATCCTTCAGCCCGATCCCGAGGCTTTGCCTCCTCCCGGCCTCGTTCTGAGGCTGCGCCCCCTCTTTCCCCCCCCCATCTCTGGTTCATTCAAGCTTCGCGCGGCCCGCTCAGCTTCGACTGGACGAGGTGCGCTCTCGACCCGCGAGTCAAAAACTGTGTCCTTCAGCCCCCCCGCCTCTCCAAGGACCGACGCTGCGGCCAGAGCCGTGGCTTGACAGCCCAGGGGCCCAGCGAGGGCGCCCCGGAGGCCGAAGACGCAGCGGAGAGGCCCACGTCGAGAAGCACCTTTGCTTGCCTTCGACGGCTCCGCTTTTTGACAAGCGCGGCGTGCCCACGCCCAAAATCCATGGAGGCCCTGGGGTCTCAGGGTCGGGCTCGTGGGAGGCTCCTCGTGGACCTGGCCTCCACGCGTGGCAGCCACCGCAAAAAAACGCCCGTCCCGATCTGGAATCAGCGGACGTCCTGGGGTCTCAGGGTCGGGCTGCTCGCGGGAGGCTCCTCGTGGACCTGGCCTCCACTGTGGCAGCAGCCGAAGAAACGCCCGTCTCGATCTGGAATCAGCGGACGTCCTCGGGTCTCAGGGTTGGGCTGCTCGTGGGAGGCCTCTTGTGGACCTGGCCTCCACTGTTCGGGGATGGACACACCTCCCTTTAGAAAAACGTGGTTTAGTGAAAACGACCTGAGGCCCAAACCTGGCGGGCGCAGGACTGGAAAATAACGGCCACGGCGCCCTGTCGAGAAGCGAAAACGGACAATTCACTAATCGACATGTCACTGTTGGGGGTTCTGTCCACCCCCGAACTGTGGCAGCAGCCGAAAAAAGACGCCCGTCCCGCTCTGGCTGTCGACTCGCACCAGGCGGCGCCGCCCCTGCTCGACGCCAGCGGGCGGCAGCCCCTGCCGAGGGCACCGCTGGCGCCCGCCGCGCCCCCTTCGCGCGCGCGGCCGGCACGTGGCCGCCCGCCCCGGTCGGCGGCGAAGGGCGCGGTCGTGCCGGGGTGTGGTCTGCGATTCGCGGCGTGCTGAGGCTCTGGGGGGTACCACCCAGAGATCCAACGTCTTGACAAAAGCCAGGCGGAGGTTTTTCGCCCTTTTCTGCCCCTGGGGGCCCTCGCCGGGCCCCAGGACCGTCAAAAAACGACTCAGGATGAAACACCGGTCCCGTGGAGGGGGTCGGGGCCTCCAGGGACCTCGCATGGACAGAAATCACGACATCGGATCTCTGGGCGCGGTGCCCTCGTCGGGGCGCGGCGGGGAACTCGGTCGAAGTCCTCGCCCGCCCCCCCCGGGCGCGGGCTGCAGACCACACCCTTTGCAAGCCACACCCTTCGGAGTCGCCGAGCCGGGGTCGCGAATCGAGAGCAGCCGTTTCTGCCCCGGGCTTGGGTTGGGTTGAGTTCGGTGATTAACGAATCTCGGGGGCGGAAAAGAGGGGGGTGATGACTAGGGGGGGGGGATATTATGGCGGGGGCCATGATATTTCCCCAGATTTCATGGCGCCTCTTCTTATTCCATTACGTCCCTGGCCCCCCCCCTGGGCCGCGCACATGCCGCTGGTCATGATTTGCACCCCCCCGTCTTGGACACCCCCCTCTTGGCTGCTCCCGAGAATCATGGGAGCCTCGCGTGTCGTCGCAATTCCGTCAGTGCGTCAGCGTGCGCCAGCGTGTGGTAATCCATGAAAAAAATATACCGATGTCTCATCGACGTGCGTTGATTTAGCGATAGGCGCCGATTTAGCGTCGGCAAGCGTCGATTGGCGTCGGCCAGCGTCGGTTCGCAAGAGCCAACAAGAATGGCATGGGAGGCTCCCATGAGTTGCCACCGAAGTTGATCCTTGGAGTCGGCTGGAGGCGGTCTGAGATGGCCGAACACTGGTTCCAGCCAGCACACAGGGGGTGGGGGTGAAAGGGGCCCCGTGGCCTGCTTCCGTCTTTTTTGGACCTCCTGGGGACTTCTCGTCGCCCCTGCTGGAAGCGGCTCGAAGAACTACTGCGTTTGGACCCCTGGAGTGGTCCCAGGACCGATTTGAGCGGATTTCGCTTGCTACCCTCCTCTTGATTCATTTTCCCCGGGGTAACTCAGGAGGGAAAACCACACACACAGATACAATGAATCGTCGACTCCCAGGAAAACATGGGAAAATATGGGAAGTGGGGGTGTGGAAGACGAAAATCCAGAAAATATACCAGATGTGGGGAATCCGGGGATTTTGTGTGTATTTATTTGTGTGTCCTTGGGCCCCTTGGGTAACTGCATCCATCCGGCGCAGGCCCCGCGGCCGCCTCCCGAGCCGAGCCGGGGCATGGGTCGGGGGGCTGACGGCGAGGCGAGGTCAGCCTGCAGGCCCTGCCTGAACCCCCGACGGCTGCCGAGGTGCCCTGCGGACATCAGAGGCGCGTCTGTACAGTCGGCCCGGATGAGTGGGTCGGCCCTGCCAGCTCAAGGGTACCCTTAAAACGACACGAAGATCGGTACAAAATCGGATCGGGATAATTCGAAATCTCCGAGAATCGGAGGGTTTGGAGGATGTATCGGGCGCCGCGGCCGCTCCAGAGCGTTCCGGAACGCTCTGAGAGCGCTCTGGAACGCTCTGGAGCGATTTATCCCGATCCTAGCCTTGTTTTAACCCTCGTGTCCTGTGCCTCGCGACTCGTGCCCTCTTGCACTCCTGTGGCGGTGTGGCCCTCGGAAGGGTCTTGTGTCCTCTCGCGTGTGCTGTCGAAACAAGGCCGACTGTACATACAGTCGGGAACTGCGGCTTGGTGGCTGGCGTGTCGCTCCGCCAGTTCTGGCCCACCACGCTTCGGTGTGACACGCCATCCACGTCCCCACACTCTGGCGATCGCAAACATGGATCGAGGGGGCGTGGATTCGCGACGGGTCCCGTTTCCACGGGAAATCGCGGATTGCCGCCGCCGAGCGAGGCGCGCCGGCCGCATTTGGGGGAGGGCGCCTCCCCCGATCCATGGACTTGGCGACCGCGCGCCAAATCCATGGTTCGCAAACGCCGGATGTCTGCGGACCCGGTTCGCCTCGCCCTCAGCCACTCTCCTGGCGCCGACTAGTGCTCTCGTCCAATGGACGACCACGGCGACGCCCACACTCAAGCACTGGCGAAGCGTCCTAGCTCGCCTACAGGCCGATCGCATAATGTTCTAAGAACTTTGTGTGGTCTGCACGAAATATTCTTAGAACATGTATGGCTGGGACTGTCTTGTTTAAACACATCGGGTTTCATGTTCTGAGAGCATTGTTTTTGTGATTCGAACATGTTTGAGGGTTCTAACCAAATTTCGTGGTAGGCCTACAGGAATACTGGGACGGTCGGTCCCTGATCAACAAGCGGGAAACGGACCGAGCCAGAGGCGAACTTGGAACCGACCGACACCGACAGAGCGAAAACGCAACCCAAAGCGAAGCAGCGGCGTCGCAACCAACCGAGCCGGACCGACCGAATGCAGCCGACCGCGAGGCAGCCCAGCCGACCGAGCCGCGGACATCCACGGCGTTCATGGTATGTCAGGGTGCCTCCCCCGCTCCTCAGGGGTAGCGTTTCGGGGGGTGAGGGGCATGGTTTCAGGGGGTAACGGATCGACCCCCCATCGCCCATTCATCCCCGACAGGAGTGTGCCAGGTCACCCCGCCTCGGAGCGTGCGATTTCGCAGTCGGCGGCCTGTCGCGGATCTGTCGGCGAGGTGTCGCCGATTCCACATCGATGTCCCCCCCTTGAGCCAGCCCCCCTTTCCCCCCGAAACATCCGACGTCGTGCTTCTGCTCGCAGCGTGGCTCTCTGGAGGCCTGGACCCCACCGCGGGACCCGAGGCCCGGCGAGGACCCCCGGGGGCAGAGGCTCGCCCAAAATGTCCCGTCGCGATGTCTTGGCGGCGCGGGGATGTCGGGGTCGAGGCAGTCCCCCCCTCAGAATATCTCAGGAGAAAAGCTGGAAGCACAGACACCACTGAACGCAGATCCCCAAGAGCATCTTGGACCTCTTGGGCATTGCAGGGGGAGGCGAAGCTCCAGGAACGATGCGAACTATTCCGAATGCTGGGACGAGACGTGTGTCTACGCGTTCGCGTGTCCCTGGCCCCCCCCCTCCCTGATCCCGAGACCGCCGTCGCGGCGGACCGCCTGCCGCCGTGCCGCTCTCTTTGTCTCGCGCTGTTGCGCAGCTTGGCTGTCGGGCACTGCAGACCTGACTGACGAGGGGGGCAGTGTCTTCGCGGCGAGGGGAGAAACAACAAAAAAACATACAAAACCAAAACGCAACAAAACATATGTTTACACATATGTATATACAAATATAGATAGACATCAAGAAGTAGTAGTACTAATAGTAATAATGACATTTACAACGGCAAAGCAGAATAAGCAAAAAAAAAAAACAACGTGGCCCCTCGGCTCCCGCGGCCGCCCCTGCCCGACCCCGTCCCTGCCTCCCCGCGCGGGACCCAAGACCCTCTGCGGGCGAGCCCCCCCCCCCCCCCGACGTCGCGACGTGGCGCCTCGCCGAGACGCCCGGCGACGGCATGCGCATCTTCGGTGGCGGGCGAGGGTTGCGTCGGGCGGATCCGTCTACAGGAGGAGTACACAAAAATAGTCCAAACATAGTCTGGGGACTATGTTTTGACTAGTTGTTTGACTAACTTGGGGCATTTTGACAAAATATCTCTAATTTTTCGCCCACGATCCGCCTGTATGGGGACACGCCCGCCCTAAGTGTAAGTCGGGCTCGTCCCTCGACAGGAGGAATATTCAAACATTCAGATATTCAAATATATTTAAGAATATCGTCTGCGGACGATTTGTTAGCTTTTGGGTGACCTTGTTTGAGCAGTGTTCTACGATTTGTTGTTCACTGTTCTGCCACAGTCCTCCCGTAGGCGGACATGCCCGACCTGAAGCGAGGGGTGGGGGGGGGGACTGAGAAGCGGGAGGCCTCTCCTCCGAAGGCGGCGGGCCTTCTCAGAGGCCCGCGCCCGCCTCCTGGGGAGTCTCCCGTGCGTGCGGGGAGGGCTCCCGAAGCTTGTCAGAGGGCCCGCCCCGGCTCGCTGCCCCCGCCGCCCAGGGCTGGCCGACGGCGGAAGTTGCCAGAGAGGTCCGCGCGGACGAGCTTCGAACCTCGAGCCTCGAAGCTCCAGTGGCAGTGGCAAGTACCCCTCCGCCTCCCCCTCCTCCCCTTTCTCCTCCTCCTCCCTTTCCTCCTCCCTTTCCTCCTCCCTTTCCTCCTCCCTTTCCTCCTCCCTTTCCTCCTCCCTTTCCTCCTCCCTTTCCTCCTCCCTTTCCTGCTCCCTTCCCTCCTCCCTTTCCTCCTCCCTTTCCTCCTCCTTCTCCTCTGGTCTGGCGCCGTCCCCGCGTGCGCGCGCCAGGGATGGGAGGGGCCCCCCCGGCCACGACCCGAGGCATGCGTGCGGGCCTCCGACCGCCTGCCCTCCACGTGGCGTGCTGTCGTGCTGCCTCCTGCTGCTCTCGTCGTCGGCTCTCGGTGCCCCTCCTTGAACGAAGGATTGCAAAGGATTGCAAAAAAAACCCTTGAACGAAGGATTGCAAGAAGAACCCTTCGTTTTTTGCTATCCTTCGTTTTTTGCAATCCTTCGTTCTCCCTTATCTCCTGCCCCTGTAGATGTGGTGTTGTGTTTCTCTGTAGGTGTATCACTGCTGAGTGTCGATCCTTTTTTGTTTATACATGTCTTCCCCCTCTCTGTCTCCCTCGTTCTCCTTATGCCTCTCGTGTATGTAGATGTGGTGCTGTGTTTCTCTGTAGGTGTATCACTGCTAAGTATCGGTTCCTTGTGGTTATACATGTCTTCCCCCCTCTCTGTCTCCCTCGTTTTCCTCATGCTTCTCGTGTGTGTATACATATACTTGTGTACACACACAGATCTATACATCTACATACATGGATGTCTCTCTCTCCCTCTCCCTCTCTAGCTATCCGTGGCTCTCTCTCTGCCTCTCCCCCCTCGCTCTCCTCCTCCTGGCAAGGCGCCGGCCGGACCCCCGCCGCCGGTAGCCGCCCCGCCGCTGCCGCTGGTGCCTCCAGGCGCGCACGTGCGCTCCGGGTGAGGGGGGGGGGGCGAATATGGCCAGATGATCCACCGCCAGAGTATCGCCCGCCTTGAGGTTGACACCAACACCAAGATCGGCGGCGTGCCTCCACCGAGGGAGGATGATCCCGATCTCGGTGATGGTGGTGATATTCGGGCTGCCCAGGTGGCCGAAATAGGATCACCAGCGCTGGAGTCTAGGATCATCATCCTCCCGTGGAGGCAAACCCCTTCGGGCCGGACGAAAGGGGGGGATTGGGAAAGGGGGGGTTACGAAATTTGCTGCATGCAGCTGGTTTCGGCCTCACCGAGGGGCCCATTCCTCGATACATGGCCGCCTCTGGCGCCGGGAGGCGCCGGGAAAATCAGCTACGTGAGCTGATTCTCAAACCCCCCCTTTGCTATCCCCCCCTTTCGCCCGACCCGACCCCTGTGCTGGTGCTGGTGCCCATTCTCAAGCCTCCAGGAGCACACGGGCGCGGACCAGTACGACGGTCGATCTCCCACCAAGATGGCAGGCTGCCGTCGGCGAGGTCCGGCCAGACGTGCCCTCGCAGGGGGCCCCAAGCCCTCGCGTGCCCCGCTCCCGCCTCTGCGAGCAGCGCCGACGTCGCGAACGTATGTCCACTACAGAAAGAATACACAGACACCCTACGCTGGATAGTTCCTGGGCCTCAGGGGAGGGCGGCGGTGTATACATTACGCCAGGGGAAATCCCAATCAGTGGATGGTTTCCGCCGAGGAGATCGACCTGGAACCGGGGAGCCCCGGAACCCAGAACCCACCGAAGTCGGCCCGGAACCAATATCCGGGAACCCAGGAAACCGGGAACCCAGCTTGCTACCAAAATCGGCGGACAATTTTCGTCTAATCTGTCAACTTCCGCTCGGACCCCTTCTGTGCAAGCACTGATTGGGGGATCACAACTGAGAGCCAGCGACTTTCTGCACCGTGAGGTACATTCACAGTTCGTCGGAGGCTGTCTGTGTATTATTATTGATCGTGGCGCATCACATGCCGGCGCGCACATCCATGTCCACAGCTTCGGAGTCGTGCCCGAAGAGCTCGACATCCTCTTGAGGAGTGGCGGGTACGGTCGGACCAAGGTATACGATCGAGGTCGGTTCGGGGAGGGTGCCCTCGTGTTCCTAGTGCTTGTTGGATGCTCTTGTGCCTCCTGGGAGAGGGTATCCTCGATTGTTCTTCTGTTTGGCGCCCCTTTCCCTGAGATCTGGGCTTGTGCAATTTTTTCGCACTGAGCGTTTTCACCCAGTTTCGGCCCTCAGGACCGTCCCAGATCGGTCCGGCTCGAACCATGCATCCTAATGATGGGGTCCAGGGTTCGGAGGAAAGAACAGTGACACAATAACCACTCGGAGTGCCTTTCCCACGAGGGGGGCCACGGTGCTTGCCCGAGCTGGGGATGGGGGATGTCTCGAGCGGGGAGGGGGGGGGGCACACCACCAGGAGGGCGCTCCCCTGGCTCCTCGCGCTGGTGGTGTTGCTTTTCCTTCTCGCGCCCATGGGGAAAAGGCGACTCCTTCATCGCCCACTGATCGCCGATAGTTGCCTGATAGCCCTTTTCCCGTCCAGGAGAGCGCGAATTCGCAATCGGGGGCCTATCGCCGATCCGTCGGCGATGTAGCGCCGACTCCAGGTCGATGTCTTCCCCCTGAGCCAGTCCCCCCCCCCCGAGGAAAAGGCAGCCCCTTCTCTGGGGTCGGTCTCTCACTCTTTGGGGCCGCCTTTTTGAGGACCCCGCCCACTGGAGTCTCCAGAGGCTGGCCCGATCGGGGGCCCATCCCGTGCGGGGGGGACCGCGTCCTCCGAGCGTCCTTCGATCGTTCCTCGAGCGTCCTTCGATCGTTCCTCGAGCGTCCTCGAGGAGCAGAGCAGAAACGACCGCGTCCTTCGATCGTTTCTCGAGGGCGCGCTTGCTGCCTGGATGGGGAGCAGAGTGCAGGCCTCCCGCAGGGTGCCGGGGCAGAGAGGGGGCGCCGCACCGCCGAGGCCTCGGCGACCCGGCACGGTCGGAAGTCCGGTTCTCTCCGTCCTGACGTCGTTTGACGAACCAACAGCACACACACCCATACCCATTGGGGGGATCGGAGAGGGCTATGGGTGCGTGTTGTCGGATGGGGGTCCCCGCTCGAGCGGGAGCGTTCCCCAGGGTCCGACAGCCCGCACCCAAACCCATAGCCAGTCCTCCTCCCAACGACCCCCCTTTGGGTATGGGTGCGTGTTGTCCGTTCGTCATCGTTGGCGCATGCATGAGGGCGCGGGCTAGAGCGATACTCGGGCGATGTCGTGGGCCGTGTTCGCTTCTATGTTTGTTTGCAGCATCGGCGGAGCGGAGGCAGAGCCAGGGACAAGTGAACAGCAACGAAACCTGAAACCACCGTGAAGTTCGCGCCTTGCGTAACAATCCCGGATCCCCTCGGGTCAGCCAAAGCTCATGACGGGATGCTTTTTGCTACCAGTGTTTGCCGCTTCGGTGGCCCTCACCGGGCCCGGTCCCGGGGAATGGGTCGAGATTTTGGTTTCGACGCTATGAAAAAATAACGTAGCCCCGCGCAGTTGCGGGTAAGAGTGAGGGGGCGGCGGGGTCGCCATCAGTTTTGCGAGGCCCTGAAGAAGCCCGCCGCAGGCGCCGATTTTTGAACGCATTGCACAAACAGCTCGCCGCAGTCGCCAAATCTTTTTGTCAAAGCAATGTGGAAGTACTTGTGGGTGGGTCGCGGGTGGGTCGCGGGTGCGTCGGGGGGTGGGTCGCGGGCCGATCGCGGACGAGGACGACGACAATTGCAGCGCAACCGTAACGCAACAACAGTCCGCACCGCGGAACCCCATGTCAGCCACGCGCCCAGGGACAGCGAATGGCCGTTGGGCCCCCTCCTCCTCTCCGCCTCCTCCTCCTCCTCCTCCTCCTCATCCTCCTTCTCCCCCTCCTCCTTCTCCCCCTCCTGCTCCTCCCCCTCCTCCTCCCCCTCCTCTCCTCCTCCTCTCCTCCTCCTCCTCCTCCTCCTCCTCCTCCTCCTCCTCCTCCTCCTCCTCCTCCTCCTCCTCCTCCCCCTCCTCCTCCTCCCCCCCCTCCTCGGGGTCGGCCCACGGAGCGATCCTGGAGCGCCTTCTGACCAGCACCGCGTGCCGGGTCCAGCCGTGGCGGCGAGGGCGCCCCTGGCGGCCGAGGCGGGGTGGCAGACGCCCACCAACCTCGGCATCCTCGAGCCTCGAGCTCCGGCCTTCGATCCCTTCATTCTACGGTTCAGTCGGGCGTGTGCTTCGACGGGGAGAGTGTTCAAAGGTAGTCCTAAAGATACTCTGAGGACGTGGTTTTGAGTATGCATTGCCCATGTTCGAGCATTTTTGGGGCACTTGTTTTATTGTTCCGCCCGGAATCCACCCGTAGGGGGACAGGCCCGACCGAATTCTACGGTCGGACCGAGGTATAGGATCGAGGTCGATTCGGGGAGGGCACCCTAACGTTCTTCGTGCATGTTGGACGTTCGTGAACGTCCCTTGGCGGCGCGCTTGGCGGCGCGCACAAGGGGGGGGAGGGGGGAGGGCTTCTTAGAAGCACCCTGCTTCTCAGAAGGCGCTGGCCCTGTATCTACAGATAAGGCCCGCGCCTTCTAAGAAGTAGGGGTGCTTCCAAGAAGCCCTCCCCCCACCCCCCTGTGCGCGAGGCTGAGCCCTGGGCGGGGGGTGGGTGCCTCGGTGATCAATGGTTCGGGATGGGGAGGGTTTCGTATTCTTGAAGGATGTTATGTCTTAGGTCTGGCCGTATTCCTTCCGCACGGGATGGGCCCCCCAGATCCTGGGACCCGCCCTGCCTAGGTATTTTTTTGACACGCACCGAGTTCGGACGGCCCCAGGGGGGCCGGAACAGCCACCCCTGCCCAGAACGGCGAAAAATTCAGGCATCCGACGTCGTGATCGATGTGGACCCCTTCCCAGGGACCGGCTGCTCATACCGAGTCGTGGTTGTTACGGCCCTAGGGCCCTTGGAGGCCGAAGACGGGGAAAAATCTCGGGCGATCACGGGCGTTATCGCGAATATTAGAACGGGGTTCTTGGAGGTTTACACAGGGCGGAGAAAAACCCAAGTTCGGTTCTCGGAGCTCGCCCCGCCGCATCGGAGGAAGGAAACTCGACGCTACCACCTCTCGGGACGCCACCTCCAGCTAGGATGCCCACGACGCCTCCCCGAGCTGGAGACTGGAGCTGTGCCGAGCGGGGAGAAGTGACCACGCCACCACCAGGACCCTCCCCAGCGCCTCGCGCTGGTGGTGGGGGTGCCGATGTGTCCTTCTTCCGCGGCCCCCGCAGCACATGCTCTTCCCAGACGGCCCCAGAGTAAGGGCTCCCTCGAGGGCGCGAAGTTATTCGCGCTTCGCGCTTCGCGGTCCTCGTTCCTTCTCCTTCTCCTCCTCGTCCTCCTATTCTCCCTTTGGGAGAGCGGCGCGAGAGCGCGAAGTTATTCGCGCTTCGCGCAGCGCGAAGCGCGAACTTAGGAGCCCTTGCAGAGGGTCCCCGCCGCTTCCCCGGGGTTTGGCTCCTCGTTCCGGCTCCCCTTCCTGTGAGCCCCGGGGCCCGAGCACGGCCCCCGCGAGCAGACGCCGAGCAGGCATCCTATGTCGCCGGGGATCTGGAAAAACCTCCCCCCAGACATGCGGTGTCGGGGTACTTCCACCGCCAGAGTATGTCCACATCCACCGCTTCGGAGTCGTGCCCTGGAATCTCGAGGAGCAGTGGATGTGGATATCCGCCCGCCCGCGTGAGCGGGCAGATATCCATATCCGCCGCTCCCCGAGTCCTCGCAACACGACCCAGCAGCAGTAGATATGGTCAAATTCTGGCGGCGCAGTACTTGGCCGTCGAAAGTCCCGATCCTTTCTCCGGCGCAAGTTGTTTTCTATCCCGTGTCGTTGTTGAGCAGTCCTGGGGCTCGGCTGCGAGGACCAACGGAGGCCGCAGAATGGCAAAAGCTCCGTCCGCGGTAATCTGTGCACGACGCGAGGGGGTTGGGCCCCCTTCGCCCCGCCGCAGGCCCTGTCTCGGACTACATGATCTTCCCGCCTCCCGGCGTGGCCTCCCCGACTGGGCTGCCGCCCATGCCCCCGCCAGTGCCTGCGGGATGCGGAAAACACACGCGCGCAAACACACACACACACACGCACGCACGCACGCACGCACGCACGAGCACATACACACACACACACTCACACACACACACACACACACACGCACACACGCTGTCACACACACGCACACACACACACGCACACACACACACACGAACACACGCTGTCACACACACACACACGCACACACACATGCACACACACACTTACTTGTGGCGATCGCGACCTTCCGCACAACGGCGAGACGGAGAGACCACACACACGCGCACACACACGCTCTTTTGGCGCCGCGGGCACGCACGCGGCGGCGAAGCGCAGGACAAGTCGAGCGAAGAGCGCGCGGACCAGGCCAGCTCAGCGTGGAAAAGCTGGACCCGCCCAGCAAGAAGCACACACATGAATATTGGACTGACACGAACACGAACAGCAACACGCACACAAACACACACACACACATACACGAACATTAACACTAACCATTCTACTCTCACAAACACACACACACACGCACACACGCCCACACACACACACACCGGCGCGGCCTCTCTGGAAGGATGAGTAGGATGAGCCGTCCGTCGGAGGAGGCGGAGGAGTCGGAGGAGGCGGAGGAGGCAGGAGGAGGGAGACGAATGAGGAGAAGGGAGGAAGGAAGAGAAAAACGAGTCGGAGGAGGAACAGGAGAAGGGACCAGCGTAAACTCGAGACTCATCAACAATATTGCAATGAGCCCTCCCTCCAAGTTCCAGCTTCATTGGCCCATGCAAGGGTTCATTATCATTGAGGGAAGCGCCCTGTTGGAAGACAGCCGTCGAAACATTCTGAATTGCGCCAGAATGAAGATGTTCGGGCACCATTCTTGGAACTTCAACACCGCGAATTCACGTAACTGTTGCGACCTTGTTTTCCGACATCGTACCAAACCAAAAGTCTGGGACGCTACGCTAACTATGACGAGCTTTGAAAGTGTTGTAAACTCTTAGAACAAATCTGCGCGGCGCTACGGTTCGATCCACATGTTTGAAAGGAACCGCCTTCCATCCGTGGAACATGTGTGGTTTTTAGCGAGCGTGCGCGGCACTAAGACGAGAGCCACATGTTGAAAGCCCACCGCCCCCCATCCGTGAAATTCGTGCAACGTCTGAGCTCCAGGATCATAAATGGTGGGGGGGGGTCTCAGGCGAAACGCTCGGCCCTCGCGGTGCGACAGGGAGGAGTTATGTTTTGGGAGGAGGAGGGAGGCAGAGCAGGAGGAGGAGGCGGAGGAGGAGGCGGAGGAGGAGGA